TGTTAGTAATGCGTGTTCATTCCCATAGATAATAATTTATTTTTGTGCCAGAAGTCTTTACTTTGTTGAACGGCCCTTTCTAAAACCAGACTGAGGGTCCGTTAATATGCTATAGTGTATACGTTCTTCACAAAATAAAATCCTTCTGTCGTTCATAATTTTTCCTAGGCACTTTGAGAAAACTGAAAGAATTGATATTGGTCTGTACTTAGATAAATAATGTTTCTGACCTCCTTTAAATGGAGCGCTCACCTTAGCTAACTGCACAAGTTTTGAAAATACGTCATGCATAAGCAAAATATTATACACGTGCTCGAGAGGAGGACAAATTATATTTAAGGCGTGTTTAAACGGGCGAATTTGTAACTCATCGGCATCACAACAATTACTGTTCCGGAAGGAAAGAAATATGCGATAAATTACTCCAGCATTTAAATGTGCTTTGAAGGTTTATGGGTTTTAAATATTCAAGACTGTGTGGATTATGTGTGCCGTTTGCCAGTTATACAAAAAGTTACTGAAAGAGTCAGCTAGCAGCGTTGCTAATGTTGGCAGACCATTTATTATAAGCTCTTGGACAACATTGGGTATGCTGCTTCTTATAACCAAGTACGGTATTCAGTCTTTTCCACATAATGTCTCATCGTTTCACTATTTCAGCGTTGAAAAGGCTATCAAGATAAGTCATTTCAAAGTGTATATGAAACTTGGCTACTTTATTTCGAAACACTTTAAATATATGTAGATCATGCAAGCTTGTCTCTAAGAAACGTTTGAAAATAGACTGTCTTTTAAGTTTCAACGACTTATATGTTATCTGAGGTTTTCGTGCCTTTTTATTTCCTGGGCCCGTTTGCTGTAAGCGCTAACCGCGGCTATAGTTAGCCGCAGTACCTAGGAGAGGAATTTTAAAATCATGTCTCGGGGGGGGGGGGGGGGGGGGGGGGGGGCTCGGTAGGGATGCTGGGAAACATGGCGGTTCCCCGGTGAGTGAGCGCCGCTCACTTTGGAACTAATATGTCGTTGTAGCTGCAATATCGGGCGCGTAAGTCAGCAACGAATGGTGCAGGAGGCTTTTGCTTTGCCTTGCCTCACTTAAATCGCAAAGCATGAGCAATGACCTCGCCGCATTTTTTAGATAGTCTTTCGATTCTGGCCATTCCTAAGCCTAAATTAACGCGATAATTGTCGGCATGGCAACGTCTTTGGAAAGTGGACTGCCTTGACTCAATCGGCCGGGTATTGATAGCGCTCAAAAGCAGACAGCGTCCCAATAGACCTTTTCCTAAATTACCCCAGCATGGGTAGCTTCCAGTGTGAATGAGCGACGAGAGTGGTAACCTGCGCCGCTCCGGCGGGGACGCGGCCGTCATTATATGGTATACGGTCGCAGAGGCCAGGATTCTGTAGTGCCCACATAGCGCCTTCCTAGATGCGTTTTTATTGATGTGCGGCACTGTGCAAGCAGAAAGACGTGAGTGATAATCTCCCAAAAAGAAAGTGATTTACTCGTTTGCTGCAAAAATACAGCTGTCAGGAAACAAATTATCAATATAAACCACAATTCCTTGAATGCACGCTTCCTACGCTCAAACTAGTCAGGATATGCGCGTGAGCACGAGGATTCCTTGTTGACAGCTAGCGTAGTAAAAAATAACTATCACAGGCTGCGTTTACATGCGCTCCCTTTACATGGATCCCATGGCGTATCGAACTGAAATTTGACAATCTTGATTGCTAGCATATAGCTGGAAGAAGTAGGAAGACACGCTGCTTGTGATTGGTCCTCGCTCGATTCGATGCGCTACGATCCTATTCGTGTAAACTCAGTCATAGCTACGAGCACACACACATAGCGCCCTCTGAGGATACTTTATTCGCGCTTGGCGTATGAGCTGTTCAAAAATTCGGGTATACACTGACTTCTTTCAGGTCTACCATTATTTTCCTTCCCGAGTGATAACACGAACATAATAATACGAAATATACAAGGCTATAGGCTGAAGCAGTTCAGTCGGGCTGGCTACCTGTGCGCCTGAAGGTAACCTGCCTACACTCCTTTGCCTTACCTCCAAGCTTGACTGTTCTTCAGATTTCATACACAAGACATCATTCACAAAGGTCAATCCTAATACCAATACTCCTTTCCATACCCCTCTCATAATTTTGTATTGATTAAAGTTCCACAGTGTTTTGTGTTTCATAATAGCCGAATTTCTTTTCCCCTTCTTTATTTCAATATCTTTACGTGCACTCAGATATTTTCTTCCCTCATAAAACAATACACCCAGATGTTTGTACTTTTCTACATGTTATATCTCAGTGTCTTGCATCTCTAGAGGTTACCCCTTTGCGTCGTTATGAACTAGTATCCCAGACTTATCCCTACTGAAGTTTAGGTCTAAGATGCCCCCTTCCCCACCGGAAATTCTAATTAGTCCCTGCATTGTCTCTGAACTCTCTGCTACGAGCACAATGTCATCTGCATACATCAGCCCGGTAAAACTTGATTTACTTTTTTCCCTCCCTCCATGTATGTCAGATCAAATCCTAAATTGTAGCGATATAATCTTTTTTTTTTTTTTTTTCATTTCACTAATGTATATCATAAAGAGCAGGGGAGACAATGGGCAGCCCAGCCTAAATCCTCTTTTTATTGCTGCTGGTTTTGTGGTTTCGGCTTCCCTAGTTATAACTATAGCCTGTTATCTGCATATCTCTGTTCAAGAAACTTTATCAAATTTTTATTTAGTTCATATATTTTAAGTTGATCTCGGAGTTTTGTCTGATTCATATTGTCGTATGCTCTTTTGATGCCCAGAAATGCCAGTCATAACGGCCTTTGCGTTAATTGTCGTTGCTATCTCTATGCACTGCGTGATAACGAATAAGTTATCCTCCAGCCTTCTATGCCTTCTGAAACCATTTTGGAGCTCTCACAGTATCTGCTTGCCTTCTGCCCATTCTTCCATTCTTCTCTTTACAATCTGCATAGCTATTAGGTAGATTTCTAACCTCACTGGGATTGGTCGGTACAATGTGATACTGCCTTTGTCTCGCCTTGTCCGATCATAGTGGCCAGCCGCACTTTCGGCAGGCCTTGCCCGCTGAAAATGGCCAGCGCCGCATTTTCGAGCGCCGTCAAGGCAGCGGATCATTGTTGCCAAGCGCAATTTCGGAAAGGGCCTATTGCTTCCTAAGAAAAATTTTATCGAATTTCTTACGACGAGTTATTGTTCGGGATATCATTCTTGGCACCTGAGCGGTGTACATCTGGCACCTTGCAAGGCTGAACCCATAAAATGTCCTACTGAGTTGAACCCATATAATGCTAGCCTATTTTTGTTTTCTCCACTTAATCTGTTCATAAAAACACTAAAGTAGTCTACCCAATGCGTGCATGTTGTGAGCGCATTGAACCCTTAGTAGTTCAAGCAGGGTTGTGAAGGGTTCCTTTGTTTATTTGTCCCTTGACGTCCTGGTTTACTAAACAAACATTTGTGTATGCTTTTCAATGTGCGTTGTGTTCTATTTTGACTATATTTATATTTGTCCTGAGTTGACGTTTGCTCCATGCTTTATCTTGAACTCCCACGAACAATATAAGCTGAAACACCCGATCCAGTTTTAGAGCGCAGCTCTCAGGGGCCCGTTTCCGGCTTGAGCGGCGTCGGCGTCGCCGTCGGCGTAACCGCGAGGTCACGTGACCCCCCCCGAGGTCACGTGACCCCCAGAAGAGGTGACCCCCGAGGTCACGTGACCCCCTTAGGTCACGTTACCCCCAGAAGTCACGTGACCCCCTGAGGTCACGTGACCCCCTGAAGTCACGTGACCCCCTTGAGTCACGTGACCCCCAGAAGTCACGTTACCCCCTTGAGGTCACGTGACCCCCTTGAGGTCACGTGACCCCTGAAGTCACGTGACTTCTGGGGGTCACGTGACCCCCTAAGGTCATGTGACCCCTTCAGGTCACGTGACCCCCGAGGTCACGTGACCCCCAAAGGTCACGTGACCCCCTGAGGTCACGTGACCCCCTTGAAGTCACGTGACCCCCTTGAAGTCACGTGACCCCCTTGAGGTCACATGACCTCAAGGAGCCACCTATCCCCCAGTACGCTTCCATCTTCCTCCTCAAGAGCTGCGCTCTAACCGGCGTTACAAGAAATTGTAAACGGCTTTCATTTTTTTTCCGCGTTTGCGGTTCCTAAAGGCTCGACTATCTTTCAATTTGTCCAATAGTACGAAGTAGAGCACCTGAACTCCGCATTCCATTCCATTCCTAGTTCAAACTTCAGCTTTCTCAAAAACACCAGAGAGGGGTGAAGGACTTTTCCAGCTCATGTTGTCCGCGATAGTATTTCTATTATTATGTATGCATATAAAGTCTGTTTCTTTAAACGTAGGTCAAATCGCTCCTGAAGGAATACGCATTGCACAGAAAAACGGTTGATGAGCAACCGGCTTCTGCCAAGGGGCCTTTTTAGAAAAACTTATAACGTTCGGTATAATTTAGTTTTTAATTACTTTTAGGAATTAACCTTTTAATTATCAATTAAGAAACCGGAACTTATTAATTTTTCTAAATAGGCCCTTTTGCAGAAACTAATAGACCATTTTTTATGGGGTGTAAATTCATGGCGTCCGCTGTCGGATGCGAGCCCCATTTTCTAGTCGAAAATTTCCGAAAGTGTCTTATATACCATTTGAATCAGGTAACGGTAAGTGACACTTTGGAATCTGTTTACAACTACTACCGTTATGTGTGGGCAGAGAATCGGCGTTTGGTGATGCGTAGTTTATTTTTGCGGTGAAAAAGATGCGGTTCTCTTTTCTTACAAACACCCGGTGTTTTCCTCTAATATAATGCGATGCCTCCGAAACAAATAAATAGAATGCAACGAAATACCTTGAGCTTAGTGGCGTCGGTCTGCTTGATCGTACTCGCCTAAAGGTCCTGATCCCCTCAAAATGCACTGCACCCACAACTTTATCTTTTGCAGGGTTTTGTGGAAAGCTACAATCTCGCCAACGATCCCCACGAGCTGCGAAACTTGTTTGTGCAACCCGGTCTTTGCAATGAAGACGTGCGTGAATCTTTCAAGTGCATCGAACAGCTGAGCCAGTGCAACGGAAGAGAGTGTCTGATGAACTGCCCACCGTGGATCCCGGCCACTGACATTGCGAGAGAGTCGGCAGCTTCATCCGGATGGTCCTGACGAGAGTTTGTATGCTGATGTAAGCCACCTGAACGTGACGGCTCTCGCTAGAACGTATACCATGAAACAAGGCCTACCTATCAACTCAGTGACTTATATGTTGCTCGAATAATTTGTTGCGCTAGACCATGCTTAATAAATGCAGTTTTCTTTTTATTGCCATTTTCATAAATGGCACTTTTCTCTCGAGTGTCTCTCTTTTTCTTTCTTTTCTTATGTCGAAGCACGAGTTTGAGTTGACCATTGAATATTCATAATGCATCGCGACGCTTTTGTTTCTTCCAAACGTTTCAATTAATTGGTTCAATCATTTCAGTCAAGAAATGTAGGCGGGTCAAGTACGACTCTCAATAATATTCCCAACCCCAAAATACTTTTTTTTTTTTGCGAGACTGAGGACGTGAAACGTCATGTTCATTATCCCAGTGCAAATCGCGCTTCTGGGGTCTTTTATTCTTCTCATTCGCACCATGACTCCAAGTAACATAGGATTTTGTTTTCTTCGTTTTGTCGTTTGTCGCTGATCTCTCAAGTTTTCCTCGCACCCCGTCTCGCCATGGACAGGCTATCGGCAGGGCTTTTCCGGCTTCGCCTTTTTCGCCGCAGTGGGCCTTCGTGCGACAAGCTGCCCGACTGATTACTGACGGCGGTCGCTCTATCCTGGCTCCTGTCTACTGGCAACAGGGCGCCGCGTGGCTCTTTCGCCCGGTGAAACGGAAAGGCAGTTGTAGAACGCGGTTGATACAGTGAGCTGGAGGGCGCTTCGTGAAGGCGGACATTTTTGTTCTCGGCATCGTCAACACGCACAGAAAGATGAAAAACAACGCAGCTCTCGCGAACGAGTTTGAGCTCCCGTCAGTGGAACGGCGTCAGGTGTCGTACCACCAGTGCGACAGAAGACAAGACGCCCGTTCGCGAAGGGAGCATTAGACGACATATAAAACAAATCTTCTACCATCTCTTCCGCTATCTTTTATTTGCGCATAGTTGATCCCAGACGTAGATCATAGGCAGTTCCCACAAGACGAGTGCGGGGATCGCTTTTGATCGTGCTCATTTATTTCCGTATTAGAAAACGTTAGTGGTTTGAAAAATGCTCTCTTCATTGTTATTCCACTTCCCGTAGCGCACTATCCTAAAATAACTCACGATAAAGAAAGAAAACGTGAGAGCATCGCTGGCTTCCAGCAATCACCAGACGGGCCTCGGGTGATTATATTTTTTACGTCACGCTCGGGGCGTCTCTACCAGTATAATTATTACCGGGACTGTTTAAGGCTCCAGTTCATTGAGCTGCCATCTTTGATAAGTACAGACCGTTTTTGTTTTAGAGCGCAGCTCTTAGGCGCCAGTTCCTGGCTTGAGCGGCGTCACCGTCGCCGTCGGCGTAACCGCGAGTAACCCTCGTAACCCTCGTGAGGGTTACGGGGGTTACGAGGGTTACTTTCACGAGGGTTACCCTCACAAGGATCACGAGGGCTACGAGGGTTACTAACCCTTGTAACCCTCACGAGGGTTACAAGGGTTAGTTACCCTCAAAAAGGTTACCCTCACGAGGGTCACGAGGGTTATGAGAGTTACCCTCACGAGGGTCACGAGAGTTACCCTCACAAGGGTTACTAGGGTTACCCTCACGAGGGTCACGATGGTTATGCAGGTCACGTGACCCCCCCTGAGGTCACGTGACCCCCTCTCCCGAAGTCACGTGACTCCCATTGACGTCATCGCCACTGATGACGTCATCAGTGACATCACAGATGACGTCATTGGCATCCGCATTGTCATCGTCATCATCACTGATGACGTCATCAGTGACGTCACTGATGACCTCACCAGCATCCGCATCGTCATCATCACTGATGACGTCATCAGTGACGTCACAGATGACGTCACCGGCATCCGCATCATCATCACTGATGACATCATCAGGGACGTCACTCATGACGTCATCGGTATCCGCATCGTCATCGTCACTGATGACGTCATCAGTGACGTCATTGGTTACGTCATCGGCATCGTCACGTCACCCCCCGACGTCACGTGACACCCCAAGGTCACATGGCCCCTACAAGGTCACGTGACCCCCCAAGGTCACAGGACCCCCGCCACCCGAGGTCACTTGACCCACCCCCCAGTACCCTTCCCTCCTCCTCCTCCTCAAGAGCTGCGCTCTAATTCGGCGTTACGGTGAGTTGTAAACGGCTTTCATTTTTAATTTAAGCATATAAAAATACATACTCAAAACCTACTTTCGTCACTTGTACCATTTTCTTGGAAATTCTAGGGTAAGCTAATGAAGCATAGATTCATTAGTTAGATAAATAACAAGTAAATATTGTGTCGTTCTTCCCATTTTTATTTTCACCGCTATTAATGTTAACAGGGTAATAATCTTTCACCGAATACTTACGCTCTAAGAAAAGCCCGTGCGTCTGCTTCCCGCACAACACTGGGAGAGCCAATCACCGCAACTTACAAGGCAGCTCAGCGAATGACAATGCCGAAACATATGTTTAGGCCAAAAACCGCAGTCTGGGTTGTGACATTAAATGCGTGACGTTTTGCATTGCTTAATTTCACAACTCAGACTGCGTTTTTTTTTTTTTTTTTTTTTTTTTTAAAGATGTGTTTTGGCATTGTCATTCGCTGAGCTGCCTTCGTAAGTTGCGGTGATTGACTCTCCGAGTGTTGTGCCGGAAAGTAGAGGTACTGGCTTTTTTTAGAGAGTAGTAATATAATAAAAAATATGCAATAACCCATGCATGAAATTTTGGTTTTGTTTTGAACATTAAAAAATAGAACGTTTTGTGATACAAAATGTTTATTTTGAGATATAGTTTGAAAAAATGTTCCAAAGAAGCTCTCGTCTACCTATGTCTCAGTTGTGAAATTAAGCAATGCAAAACGCTGAGTATGCTGAGTAGGCTGTGTAAAACTATAACCCTCTAAAGACCATTATTGGAGGAAAAATATCAGAAACACGTGGCGATATTTAATCGTTCATTACGTTAATAAATAATAACCTATAAATATATTACCTTACCCTAGAATCCCCAAGAGCGCAAAAAATATGCGAGCAAAGTTACTTAAAAGGATGTATTTTTATATTTAAGTGAATGAATCAAAAATTCAACTCTATAAACTCTAGTCTTGCGAGCAACCGGTAATTGCGGACGACAGACAGCTTGGCTCGCCAAAAAAAAAAACGCTTTGGTTCTGTCGCTATTCAAAATAGTGTTGCTGAACTAGCAGAAAAAGGCCCACACAAAAAGTACAATTTGGACTGCGTGCCAAGCGACGGAAAACAGCTATATATGAGGAAAACATATTTGCGGGAATTATTTTTCGCGAATCGTTGGCGTTTCCCGAGATTCAAGAAAATTAGGCCCTCGCGAAAATTGTCATTAAGAGTAAATACAAAAAAAAAAAAAGACTCGAGAACACAAATCCGATGATTGTCGACACTTGCTGCGTTCGAATTCCCTGCTCCTCCTGCACCCGCCCGCACTGGGTGCCCACCGCAGCCTATCTCAAGACACCACATGAAGTACATGCCCTGCACCTTTCTGCAGCGCGCTACACTTTGTCTGCACTGGTGCAAGTTGGTGCTGGTAAATCGAATGAGCCAAGTGTTGTAGGGAACGGCGCTCCAAGGAACTACATTCCTGGAACGCGTTATAGCTAAGAGCAGGGATGGGCAGTATTTCAAATACTTTGTGTATTTTGCATTTATATTTCATTACAAATTGGGTAACGTATTTGACGTGTGTATTTAAATACTAAAACGTGGGTATTTCAAATAAAATTGTAATTAAATACAATTTTGTGGGCAGAAATACATTAAAGGCACTGTCCAGAGCAGCAAGAAAACTACGTTCTGCACCGAATGCAGTGTCTCTCAATAAAGCACAAACGTTTAGTGACTTTGTGATTACGGTGCTAGTCCAGGGCAAGAATAGTGACAAAATCGACGTTCACAGGCAGACTGACTAACTAAGTGCGTGTGACAACTTGTGATGCTTTTCAGCCTGATTTCCATCCATATTTTTGCCTGGAACATTCTAAATGCTCGGGTCGTCCAGATTTTCGTAACTGGTGCGAGTTGCAACAATAAAAACATTATCTAGCTAGTGCTGCGCGTCCTGGTCGTCTCGGTTCTTTGTTGGCCTATACCAAAATGTAATCGACAAAAAAAAAAGCTGCTTGAAGCTCTGTGCTTTTTTCACCTATTACGTCCAAGCTGATTACATTTTTTGTGATTAAATTTCTATTACGTTACTAGAGACGTTACTAGAGCCTCACACACTAACTCCCGAGTGTGCGATGAAAAATTGAAATGAGATACCCAGAAACCCGTTGCAGGTGCCCTGAAGTCGCTGACGCAAATTTTGAGGAACGTATTTGAAAAAGTGTTTGGAGAAGACCAAATACATTTGGTTGTATTTGTATCTTGTACTTAAATGCTTTTTTTGGAAATGTAATTGGATTTGTAATTAAATACAGTTTTGACGAAGTATTTTGTATTTGTATTTCGATACATATTTGCATGTATTTTGCCCATCCCTGGCTAAGAGGAACGGAGGAATGCCGCCTTTCCATCTTGTGTTGATGGAACTGGAATGGTAACGGTACGTTTTCGAGGGAGCGGCTGGAGAAACGATGTTCCTTTTTCTTTTTTTGTATATCTACAATTTTATTTAAGTTTGGTAGGTCCTTAGGTGTTTTATTTTTGACTTTTTTAACCTCCGACTTCACGGCACGGGAAAGTGTCCGAAAGATATTGGAAAACAAAAAAAACTGGAATAAATGTGACCGGGGCGCCACGATGCGTAGTGATATTTTCACTCGCTCGCTTTATTTCATGGAGGTAAGAAGTTTCTGGAGGTGAAATGAGCCCATCGGAGGTGACTCCAAAAGGAGGGACAATCCCGACTCCACAATGACTAAAACCAGAGCTCTTTTCGTCATCGTTGGGGAGCGTGTTTCTCCACACTTCTGGCTTCACCTCTGGTGGCGTCATGTCGCCTCCAGAGCCTTCCTACCTCCGTGCTTTATTTTATCTCCAGATTATCCAGCACAATATTTAATTAAATTACGTAAACGTAACGTAATTAAAATAACTACATGATCTTGGAAATGTAACAGGAACGCGTTCCTTTCAAACTACTGGAACTTCTAATGGGAACTCGTTCCATGATTCAAAAGGAAAGCGAGGATCGAGCTTTCGTTTGCTGTCTTGGAGGAACCTGTACAACACTGGTGACAGAGTTTCCTACATCCACTGGCAGATTAAGAAGAGCAGGGCGTGGCGAGTCGCAATGCATCTTATTAAAACTCCTCGGCCAATGGGATTGCAGCATTAGAACGACGGAAAACGAATCATGAGGCGAATCGCGTCTCTCAAACTTTGATATCATCTCATGCGATAACCCCGAATAAGTAAATGACACAACACAACAAAATCCCGATCCAAAAGAGATACAAAAATAAACAACGTTTAACACTTCATTATTAACTACACCCCCGGAATCTTTATTCACGCAAGTCCTTCACCGATCCTACGCAGAGTCGTAAACTCTAGATAGGACAAATCAACAGCTAAGCTCACACTGGCTGGTTCAAAGCAAAACACTTTTCGGAAAGTCATCCGTTTAGCCGTTACGAGGGCTGCCATATGCGACGGTGGCCCAGGTGTCGACCAGCGCTTTCTTCTGAACCTTTCCGGTGTCCGTTTTCGGGAGAGCTTCCACGAAGAAGACGCCGCCGTAGAGATGCTTGTGCTCAGCACAGGTTCCTTCGGAGGGAGAGAGAAAGGTTTGTTTTATGTTAATAACTGCGAACTTTGAAGTATACACTCAAAAAGAAAAAAAACTACGCCGTTACATCTAACACTATCTTGAAAAATCAAAGCCTGTGCACTTTGACGTCATCTCAGTGAGATCCAGCAAAGACACAGCTTGAACACGAGTGCTGAGTCCGTTTGGCTGAGCCTTGTGTCCAATAGACTACATCCGAAAATCCCGGTAGGCAACGCTGAGCGCGTTGCATTATGGAACCTTTTTGGCCACGGAGAGAAGTGGCGTGCCAAGCTTTCGGTTTTGATGGCCCCGTCGCCGAAGCACGAGAGGCGTCTAAAAAGCTCTCATTATGGGCAGCAGAAAAATATAATATCGCCAAAAGTTGTACTGTTGGGCCAGCCCGCGTCCCATGCAGATTCGGCACGTTCAAAATATTTATTTCACTATGTCCAATGATTCGTACATGCCCAATGATTTGCACATAATGAAGGTCCCCGTTCGCTAGGTTCCGTGACTGCTCAGGCTCATGCAAAAATAGCACTCATGGGAATCTGCCACTTAAATGTTGCAGCTCTCCCAAGCCGACCCTGACGACTTCTTTAATCGCCTATTACCATGGGTGAGTGTATGGCGCACCATTACAACCGAAGGCTAAGAAACAAAGCGAACTGTGGAAGCACGCGAAGTCGGCACCACCAAAAGAAAAAGACGGAGCTGTTGTCGGAAAATTTGATGATTAGGGTAGGGCCAAACAACACATGGATTACCAGCACCTTCCGACCTTTTGCTCTTTTTCGCGTCAGTTGAAACGGGTGGCACCAGTGTAAAAACAGCCCCCCAGCACTTGCGGTTCTGAGCTAGACGGCGGGTTTTGCAGTATGTACGAAATTGAATATATTGGCTATATTTTGGAAATGGCTACTTAAAGCACTATCACACCAAATTATCTTTTAGGATAAAAGAATGATGAGTAAAAAATTAGGAAATATACGTGAACAGGAAGTGCGGCGGGGGTACCGATTAGAAGGCACCACACAGTTCGTTGCGAACTGAAAAGGCGAACAGGTTACGGGAAGCAATTAGGCGAAGCGGGAAGCTGACCAAGGGAGTGCGTTTGCTTCTCCACAATGGAAATGCGAGAAAAATCCTCCAGTGTGGCGTACAGACCTGTTTTAAAACGTGCAGTGCCATCCGTAGCGCTGAAAGCAGTGCCGCGAACGGCCTGTCCAGAACCGGTTGCAGAAAACGACGGAGGAAACGCCAGCAAGGCTAGACAAGCGAGTGTGCTGTTCTCTCTCTCTCTCTCTCCCTTTGTCACTCTCCGTCTTTCTCTCTTTCTCTCTAGCCGTGTTCCAAAATTTATTCAATCTCACTCTAGGGTAAAGAAACTCTTGTGACTTGACGTTCAAAAACCTCCCCGCGTCTAGCGTTGCTCTGTCTGTTATGTCACGTGAGATGATCCGCCGTAGAAACTCGGATCCATACGAGTAGGATTTGGAACACAGCCTCTCTTATCGTCTCTTTAGTTTCACGTGGTAGATGCTACATGGGCAAGAAGGAGTGTATATTCACACGTAGCCTTTTGGGCTTTTTACGAACGGTCTCTTACAAAGTCCTGAAATGTCATCTGCCCTAACAGATTTTATTTGACATTTCGGCAGACATTTCGGCAGACATTTCGGCAGACGTAAAGCGTTACTAGTAAAGACTTCTGCATAGTTACTTCTCTTGATAACGAGTAACCTATTTAGGTGCTTGTTTTTAGAAAAGAAACAAGTAACGTATTTAGATACTAGTAACGAGTAACGGTATTTTTTTACATTTGAGGAGTTACTCCTCAAAATGTAAACGGCAGTGCTGTATGTAAACGGCAGTGTTTAAGGCTGAAGCCCCACGGCGGCTATCTTGAAGAAGCTTAAAGTTTGACCCCAAGATGGCGACACCGGTCCGTGTGGCGGAGGAATTGGAGTGGCTCGTGGCACCGATGTTCCGGCTGGTCCCCTGTGCACATTGCATGTTCACCGCGTGCTCTCGCGTCCCGCGGTTCCAGCGCTGCCCAGTTTGCTCCGCTAGCCCAGCCAGCTCATCTATCGGAGGATGCCAAGCAGGGTAGTTTCTGTATATGAACTTCCAATCCGCGGTGCAGTAATTTTTACATGATTTTGTGCGGAACATCACGAAGTGAGAAAAGTATATTGTTAATTTTTTGTAAATGAAAAAAAAAAGTTCTCTGCATAAACGTTTAGCAGGTTTTTTTCTGTCAAGACACAAGTTGACAAGGACGCCCGCTAGAAATGTAGTGACGCTTGGCGATTTATTTGTCTGTTGTCTCTAAGTTCCCATCCTGGGTGACTCAGAAGCACTTCGACGATAGTTTGAAAGACAAGAAGAGGGTTCATTTCGGGCAAGTGCCTTTTGTCAAACATTGGGAGCATCGGCACCCAGTATCTATGTGCGTCCTTGAGGCTAATACTATATGTTTTAACGGCATTCCGAGTGGTGGCTGTGAAGAGATGAAGAGCATGAGGTAAGGGAAGATCCATAAACTGACACAAAGAAAGGACCACAAGTACTATCAATTGCATTCAGCACGATCTGCACCCTTCCAACTTCTTCCACCCGATTTGGGAAAACAATTATATTTTTATGTATCTTCATCTGTATTCAGGAATACAGTGCAATTCACTAATGACGATAATAAGCAAACCCGAATATTCGAATATTTAATTGTTGTAACTGATTATCGTTATATCTGGACTGGCTTCGAAAAGCGCACGAAATATTACCCAATGGTGCAGGATCGAGCGAGTTACTCAGCAATGCAACGTACTGCTCACATTCTGAAGTATCATTTTATTTTTTTATGTAGTCTCTATGAACAAGTGTTTGAATAGTTTTATGGGAAGTTTGACGTAACTAAATTCGGGAACATCCACCAGATGCAATCTGCTAATCGGTTTATTTGTTTTAAATAATATTTTCGAGTTTTTTCTAACAAAAAGTTGGTGTCTCTGTGGTATGGCCAAAGCAATGACTGGCATTTAGGCAATACGAAAGGCGCTCTAATTCTGTTGCAATTCTCCTTAAATACAACATATTTTGTACTTTCAGTAACTAGCACTTTGAATTATTCCTTAGCATTCCTGACCGATGAAACACGCGCTGGTTTCTTTCCACAGGCAATGACAGTCGAAAAAAAAATTATAAAGGACGAGCTGTGTTGACTACCTCAACTCGTAGCCAGAACAAACGACCCCGTTATATCTTAATCACGCGCTGAAGCTCGCAAAGCACAGGCAAGCTGAAGTTGGCAAAGCAAAGCACGTGCTGAGTTCCACCCATCATTAAGTTTTGCCTATTTCCGTCATCACCGCGAACGGGCACGAATCACTACCCGAATACATGTCGGGGCATCGATTGTCACGAGCCCAAATTGAATTATCACGCAGTGCTCGTGCCCACGGTATAGCCTCATTTAAATATTGTCACCGCGGGGATCGAAAAGCTCGATGACAAATTCCTGGGGATAGCATTGTTGGCGTTATCAAGAATGCGGTCCCTACAAATTCGTCATAGAGCTTTGCGAAGGAGAGGCTGAAATAAAACGTCCGTTTATTCTTGAAGTCACGCGGTGACAAAAAAGCTTCTTGGTCAGTGGCGTTGCATGCAAGTATTCTTCTGTCCCCTCCCACAAAGTCACTGGTTTCTGACCAAGTAGCGCCATTGCCTTCCCCACCTGCTAGCCGGACGAAAATAGATACTAACAAAACGACCACACCTCGCAAGGTGATTGGCTTTAAAAAAATTAAATGAATTATGCCATTTAAACATGTACTCTCAAAGGAGGGAGGGGGGACAACTTCCGAAGGCGGGCGGATAGCGCTACACGGCTGGGATCAACTTATACTCCGTCTCACTAAAACCGTGCAGTACACTCAAAGCTACAGGGGAGAGAGCGCGTGCCAACCTATTCAAGAGGAGGGAAAGGAGAAACGGGAAAGAAGGGCTGAGATTCCTCCGTTCTTCCTTTCTCTCCCCTTGAACAGGTCGGGATACACCCTTCCCTCGTAGCTTTGGCTGTACTGCACGGTTTTAGTGAGACGGAGTATAGCCACCGAAGACTACACTTTGATCTTAGCCAAAAGGTCGTGAAACGATCGGTCTCTGTTGCCATGGCAATGGCCCTTCCAGTCCTTCCAAATCTTAAAAGCTTCGAAAGCCTGGTCGTTCTGAACCAGTTACACCAAGATCGCTAGGAGCACCATCTTATACACCTTTGCAAGTAGGATCCCGGCTTAACCTCTAACCGCGCGCCAAGGTGAGGCGGACCTACTCTCCAGCCAGGACGTTCGCTGGTTGTGGAACAATGTTGCCAAGCGTCTCTCGCCGAAGCGTACACCACTGAGCGCAGAAAGAAATTTAAAAAAATAATTATAAAACGTACACGTGTCGTCTTCGACAGCGAAATAGCAAGGACAATTAAATAAAATGCCTAAAGCGGTAACAAATCGAAAATTTTCAAAAAGATCTAAAGTCTCAAGGCGCTCTCTTCAGAATGCGCCAAAAGTCGCATGGCCTTTGCATCAACGATGGCTGCGCTCGCGGCAGCTCTGGCTTCCACAACATGCAGGAACAGAGGCTGCGATCGTTATGAAGTCAGCTCCAACCCTGAAAGATGCCCCGTCCTACAATATGTGACGCTACGATTCTGTGTGGATACCTCCTCCTGCGTTCAGAGACAGTAAGTGTGCCGCTAACGTAAGCCATCGGCGATGCAGCAAACGGCACCATCTTGTCATCGCGTACCCCAATGACGTGCCCCTGGCGCACCCCAGCATGGCGGAAACGGTACGGGGCGCCAGCATCGCTCAAAATGGCAGCACACAGGAGCCTTTCTTGCAAACGTGTATACTGAAAGCGTTGCTCGCCTATATGAACGTATTTTGGCGCTGGCATCTAATCCACTTATCAATCATGCTTATCTCCACAGATATATTACAACTGTATTATTGGTATAGAGCATTTAAAGACAGAAAAATTATTTCTTTCATTGTAGCCTAGCACCGACGCCCTACGGGGTGGTGATGCGAATATGTGCGCTTATTGCGTCGGTGTGTGGATAAAAATACCTCAGTATTCAAGAAACGTCTCACCAGCGAATTTAGGAGGGCTCACTAAGAATAGAGAGGTCAGGGAAAAACTGCTAATTCCATTAACCAAAATGGCGCAAATAAGGGAATATTGGTGCTACTTTCCCATGAGCCAGTGACAATAGGTCCCACTAGTGCCAGTAAGCTTGTGTACAGTCAGAAACATTCACATCCAATATCGTAGCACGGCCCTTTCGAATAGGATACCTGCAATGATGTCTTTGATCTCTTTCTCCATCGCTGGATGAACCTTTCCGACATCTCCCTTGGGCACGACAAAGGCGGCCGGTGCTTCGCCGTAGACCGGGTCGGGCAGGCCCACCACGGACACCTCGGCGATTCCGCCGTGGTAGGCGAGCAGCAATTCTTCGAGTTCTGCTGGAACCACCTGGTTGTCCAGGCACTTGATCATTTCCTTGATTCTCCCCCCAAGTCGAACTCGGCCATCTGTATCGTAGTGGGCCAGATCCCCTAAAAGAATGCAGAGAGGAGCACTAAAATCAATTTTGATGACACTGGGAGAGTGTGAATAACAAACAGGAATACACGAGTGAGCGTAATAGGGACATATAATCATTTTTAAACTTCTTCCTACTTAGATTTTTCCCTATATTTAAAAACAAAACGAGAAATCACTCAGTCGTTACGTGCTTGGCCACCGGTACGATGTCTCCAAGCAGCCACCGCGTTTTTTTTGGAACACACCATGTAACTTGTCATTCAAATGCGATTATAAGTGCCGTCACGGCAATCATTGGACACGAATGCGAATTCAAATATTCGTCGGCGGATTGATTGTTGACGAACGCAAATGTCTGAGTAACGCAGGGCTCGTGTCCAATGCGTGAGTAGGGATAGGCTAACGTGCTTTGGGTACCGCGGATGTGTCGCAGTGAAAAAGCGGAAAGCTCTCGAAGGAGGTACGAAATAGTCGGCTAAATTTCTTAAATTTACGTTTTGGCTTACTTAAAGGAGCTGTGCATCAATATCAGGACTTTGCTTAAATTATTATGGAAGTTGATGCCTGACACTTCTGAAGTGAACTACAGAAAACGAATTTTGCCTGGATACCCTGTATTTTATTTGAAAAAAAAATGAAAAATATCCAGGTGTTGCCGCCTCTCAACTCGTAGGTCGTCTTCCGGGTCACGTGCGCAGTGACGTTGATGGGGTAGGCGCGGGGTTCCGGAAACGTTCTCCCTTTAGAGCCATCAGTAAGCAGCGAGAACTCATCCGCTCGCGACCGCGTGACCACGTGCTGGAGCCTGGCGGGCGCCGCGCGAACAATATGGTGAAAGGAGGAAAGCCTCATCCGGGTCCGGCTAAGTATTTGCTATACCCGTCCGGCCCTGTCCCCCTCCCCCTTAGGCTTCTGGCTACTGTTCGCGGTAGCAGAGAGAGCTGACGGTTTTGTGGACCTAGGATAGATGGCGCCACTAAAACTCTGTATAATAAAAGCTTTGTCGATGATACCAGTTTTTTTACGCATTTATATATATGTTGGAACGACAAGAATTATAAAAAAGTTACCTTTCATCGAGCAGGTATTCGCACAACTTGCTACCTTCTACGAGATACCCCATTGACGTCACGCCGCGTGTTTCTCATGGCCGCCACTCGCGGCTGCAGGTCGGGGAATATTCTGTTTGGCCTCGCTTTTACGCGGCGGAATCGCAACATTTCGATGAAAGGAGGTGTGTTTACTGTCATTTGTGACAAGGTGAACAATATCAAAAGCAGAAGATTCCAATTCTTTCAACGTTAAAATCGTTGCACAGGACCATGAAGGCAGTTTCGAAGTTTTATTCGACGATTGAAATGGATGTCAGGCACGTCTCAGATACTGTTGACCAAGTTCTAACCCGAACAGAAGTTGGGGTGCCGCACCAATCGAGCAAACAGGCGCGGTAATAATAGCGCCGGGAACGATGCCTGAGACCCCACCGAGGCGGCGGCAGAAAGGTGAACTAAAGTGCGCCGAAGCGTGACGACAACGGGCTCCTCGTCTGGCGCATAGAGTTATTATAATGTACGCTAGAGGTTCAACTGGCGCTAGTGTGCTGTTGCAAATTGAAGCAGACAGCAAGCAGTCCGAAATTGACTTCCGGTAATGCATTTCTATGGGAAAAAGCAAATGCATTTTTTCTGTGCGCTCGATTATAAGAGCAAATATTACTAATAATTCGTACCTACTAGGCACATTGGAACATTTCCCAGACTCGCAGATGAAATAATTGGTCAGTTACGGCGTTTTTATTTTAAAATCGTGGCATGAAAAAAGGTGCTAAAACCGCTTCGTACAGTACATGTATTTATGTGCACTGTCGGGCACTCTTAGCGCGAACACGGCGCCGGCGCTTTCTAGCGTGGGGAACGAACGAAGGACATGTGGAAAACCAAGAGATACTGCAAGAACTACGCAGTAACACTGGATAAGTAATTCCTTGTGCTTGCAGACGATCAAAATAAATTGAAAGTCACGTAACATAGTCCGATTAATAAATAAATACTGCTTTATTCTTTCTGCTCATGCATACATGCGAAGATGCTTGTTCTGTGTTCAAATCATCACCCGCGCTCCAAATCTTTGCAAAAATAGGGGGAAGCCAGAGAACAGGTGCGCGATAAAAACTGCCCAACATAAGAAAAAATAAGAATATGCACCTTTCGTAGCCCACGTACTTTATTCTGTACGTTTCGAATGTTTTTTTAACCACTAGTAAAGATGCACGACGGGGGCATTTTCATATAGTGAGAGGACAGGCATATTAGCAATATATAAGCACCAACGGAACGCTGGCGAACTTTGAACACTCTACATTACTTTCGATTGTTATTTTGCTTGGAATCGTTGCTTGTTTCTACATACCTGCCATGAAACAGAGGTTTGGGCCTGAAATATAGCGAAGTTTAGCATCGTTCAGTAGTAAAGAAAAAATGCTGTAACTAAAGCAATTACACTTTCACAATATTAATGAAGGTGCATACTATCCGGTACAACCGAAGTAACAAAAGTTATTAATGTTATTTTCCGGCGACGAGACAAAATTCACGCGCGTCTTCCCATAGGAATACACAGGAAGACTGGAAAAGTAGACTGCATGCCGTCTGCTTCAATTTGCAACAGGAAGTCCCGTAGACACTAGCGCCAGCTGAGCCTCTAGCGTTTATTAATAACTCTATGGTCTGGCGATTGGTTCAAACGATAGACGCGCTCTTGGTTTCGATTTCGGTGGTGAGATGTGATGAAAAAAGTTTATTTGAACGTTGGATAATCTTTTGAAGTTGTAGTTGGGAATTAATAGGTTTCATACCGTGTGTAAAAGCATAATCTGAAGCGATCCCTCCGTTTGTCACTGGTTGAACGCATCCCGCACTGCTACCTTGGGGGGGCGCGTAACAAGCATCGAGCAACCATGGACAAAAAAAAAAAGGAAAAAGAGGTATGAGCGCCGGGGGCGGCGGACTTTTGCTTTTAGTCCCTCGTAAAGCGCCCTCGTAAAGCGCCAATCCAGAGTTCTGCGTCCTTAGCAGCATCTCCCGTTCAGTCGGCGTGAGGTCGCTAAACGGGAGCTCAAACACGTTTGCGAGCGCGGCGTTGTCGTCCATTTCTTCCAGGTTTTCTTCACAGACCGCCATGCACTAGAGCGAACCACGGGAACCACACTGAGAGTGCACTAAATCCTATCGATGCCGACAGTGCTCCTTGACGTCACTTCTCTTTCCAGAGGCGAAAAAGGGAAGAAATCTGAATGTTTGTTTCGGTTTCGCAAATTTATTTGCAGGTACAAAAATAAGAGTCACAGCGTTCTAGAAAAATTGTGTGGCATGCCAGGACCCCAATGCTTCCGAAAACACCTTCTCTTTAAAAAAAAAATTTAATTGCCTTCATGGTTCCTTTAACGTAATGCGATTAGTAAGATTCCAATCTAAAATGATTTTTCCCAGCCCGAACTCCGTCTCATGGCGCCGTTCCGCCATCATTCAAACGTGGTGGCGTAGTGCTCGTCCCTAAGGCTTCCCGTCGAACCGTCTGCAGGCGGCCCATCGGCCGCCACGCAGATGGGAGACCGGCAGCGCACGTCACCAACTTGTAGTCTGTGTTTATGTGCGTTATGCATAACGCTTTTGAACACAAAGTACAAGTTGGTGACGTCGCTGCTGGTCTCCCATCTGCGCCACATTAGGCCCCATGTTGTAAGCCAACGCAGACGTGTTCCGTACCCAGCAGGAACATCTTCTCGTTCCTGTACCTCACGCGCGACATTTTTTTGTACGCCAATTTTACACATCTGTCAGAGTACTTCGTCTCCCTCGATCAGGCCAAGGCCTTCGATCGATTCGAGCACTGTTTTTAGAGCGCAGCTCTTAGGCGCCCGTTTCTGGCTTGAGCGGCGTCGGCGTCGCCGTCGCGATCGGCGTAACCTCGAGCCCCCTCCCCCCCCCAAAGACCTCGGGAGGACCTCGGGGAGACCTTGGGTTCCTTCGGGAGGACCTCGGGAGGACCTCGGGTTTCTTCTAGAGGACCTCGGGAGGGCCTCGGGTGTACCTCGGGTTCCTTCGAAAGGACCTCGGGAAGACCTCGGATTCCTTCGGGAGGACCTCGGGTACCCTCAGTGACCTCGGGGAGGGGGATCACGTGACCCCCCCTTCTCCCGAGGTCACGTGACCCCCTCCCAGGTCACGTGATCTCCCCGACGTCACGTGATCCCCCGAGGTCACGTGATCCCCCGAGGTCACGTGACCCACCCCCTCACTACCCTTCCCTCCTCCTCCTCAAGAGCTGCGCTCTAATTCGGCGTTACAGGGAGCTGTAAACTTTAGCGGAGAAACTTGATTGGTGTTGAGGTCACGTGGTGTTTGATTGAAATTTGGAAAGTTCTTGAGTTTCCTGACACCTTCATAGCCCTGCTCCGATCCCTGTGCAGTCGGATGACAAGCCATCTCCAAATAAATTGGCGGATCCTTGCTGCGTTTTCCGTGACCAAGGGAGTGCGGCAGGGTTAGGTTCCTTCCTGTCACCCCTGCTTTATGCCCTAAGTCTGGATCCTCTACCCCGACGCCTTGCGTCTTACTCCCGCATACGCGGCTTTCCGTTGCCTGGCCGCGGTGATGTCGCAGTTAGCGCGTACGCCGACGACGTCGGTGTGTTTTCGTGTTACTCACAGAGCTAATTGAGTCCGCTGCACAGCTTTTTTCAGACTACGGTTTCCTTTCGGGAGCGCGTTTAAAGGGGAACTCCGGCGACTTTTTGAGCAACCCCAACTAACTATATTTTTTAAATCGCCGTCTTTTACTCTTCCTAATATGTTATTTTGTATCGCGAAATTCAGAATAGTTATTGTGAAATCGGTAAATGAAAATGACGCCAAAACGAAGATTCGAATATACCCGCGCTTTTCATTGCCGTGACGTCACGAATGTGCCGGCTTGCGGTTCGAGCGGGCAGTCTAAAAATGAACTATGCCGAGCATTAGTATCGTGCTGCTGCGCGGGAGCTGGAGCGACTTTCTAAAGCATTCATTTGACACCATAAAACTGCTTGTAATCACTTGAAAACAAAGTCTACAGCCCCAAGAGTGAACCCCTGCACACTCATGACGTCACTTTTTCAATGTTGCCAGTAGAGCTTTTCACTTTGGAAAACACGATGAGGACCAAAATTGTAAATTCTGTAACTTCGCGAAAAAAAGTTATTTTTTCCAAATATTTGGGTTACTAGTTCAGCGATGTTTGTTGGTGTTTTTATCAAGTTTTTAGGCAAATCGGGGACTATGAAGAAAACGGCGGAGTACCCCTTTAAACACCTCTAAAAGCCAAGCTCTTCGTTTCGGAAGCTCCTTTCCCTCCTTACATACAGACACTCAAACTGTAGCCGTGGTTTGTGTCCTAGGTGCGCTTTTTTACTGTTGTGGAGTGTCGCCACGCACGTGCGAGTATATAACTTCCGCGCTCGCGAGCGCCAAGTCGCCTTAGTGGAAACGTTTGCGTTGTCGCTTCGTGACAGAGCGTATCTTGTGAACGCAGTTTTTTGCAGCCAACTTTATTATGCAGCCCACGTCGGCCTCCCTCCACCGCGTTTCTGCCAGCGTATAACGACCTGCCTTTTCAGGTTTTAGTGGAGCCTGGGCACGGAGATCACTACCTGCAGAGCTGTCCTCCGGCTCTCGACAGGAAGGGGAATGCCTCGTATCGACACCATGTCGAGAGTCCTCGCGCTTCGCACCATCTTGGGGGTGCTTGACGACACAGAACGCCCGGCGCGCTGTTTGGCCTTGTATTTCTCGGGTCCGTCGCGTCGAAGGCTAGTACATCGGGCCCTCGGCAAGCTCTACCCGAGCGCTGAGATTACAAGCCCTTTCTACTAAACGGTGGTGACATTTCAAGAAGATTTATGCAAAATGGTGCTAGACCTAATAGTGCGAGACGAACCACCGGCTCGTTTAGAGGTCTATACTTGACCCGGATCACAGCTGGCGAGCGAGTACGGGCAAGCGCTTTTCCCTGTAACTCCGTAATTTCCCGCCGTCTTCGTGGACACGGGGAAGACCTCGAGTGACGACCAGAATAGGAGGTTCTTCCGACCAGGGATCGTCTCCAACGTTGAGGCAGGGTGCCCAATTCGCGGTGCCCCAACTGCGGAGAGGTGCAGACAAACTCCCACGTTTTGGCGACTTCCAGCTTTGCACGGTCATTTTGGCGTCTCGTGAACCATGGTTTTCGCACTCTGGGCATCGTACATTGCGTATCGGGCCATCACTACCCTCGAGGAGGCTTCACCCTCCTCCTATTAGCAGTCGGCCAGCATGTGCTTTGTCAGAATCGTTGTGCTGCTGTGGGCCAGCACCGTCGTGCGCGAGCCATGTGGCCTCTGTTGTCCCATCTTCGTGGCTCTTTGTACCACTATCTAGACCGCGAACGTTTTTGGCTGGGAGAGCAGGAGTTTATGAGACGATGGTCCTGCCACTACGTCCGGCTGGCCAATGACCGAATCCTTCTATCTGCCACGCCACTTCCCTTGGTGTATAGCACCTTTACTAAAAGGGCATCCGAGTAAAACACTTTTACCACTTCGCGCGTATTTTTTTTTTTTTTTTTGCCTGCATCAGTGTTTTTTGGTACGCTATTCTCCCGTGAGGGGCAAGATACTGTTCTCAGTTATTGTGTAAAGTGAGCCAATTGTTTTAAAGGGTCCAAATAATGTAAACAAGCTTGAAGACCAGTGTTTATATTGTGTGTCCAGTGCCTTTGACTTGATGTCAATTTAGTTATCTAAACAGAACCGGAAGTTCTCCGGGACGTCAGAGACTTGAGCGCCACCTGGTGGCCTTTGCCGTGAAAGGGTCTATATGCTTCTCACGAAGTGTGCCAACCTGTTCAAGGAGTCAACTTGTACGCGACATTCGAGCCATTGATGTTCCGTTGCCATACACGTAGCGTAGAAAGACGTAGTGAAGCCATAACAAGTCAAGTGTAGAATGGCGGCTCCCGGGCCGTCGACGGCGGCCTTGCGACTACGATTTTCAATACAGGACATGACATCACCCCTTCGGGAGGCTCATGACGCAAACTGTTTCGAAAGCCCACCGAGGTGTGCGACGATCGCTAGCAACCTGCCACTTATGGCGAGCAAATGATTCTGGGCAAACGTTAACACGAGACCGCTTTTGCCCATGCGACGCGAGCGAACCCGATCAGTCAACCAATCACGCAGTGGTCTCATATTGAAAATGATCTAAAACGTTCATAAAATATCTTAACGTGCGCTGACAGTGTTTAGGTTATTCTAAAATGTCATAACGTGCCACGAGACGCGTCACTACTCGTTTTGCTGTGCACTGGAGGAGGACAGTCAACTCAGGGTTTTATGTTTTTTCTTGCGAAATTTACCTGGCTGAGACAAAACAAAAACGGGTTCCTATTTTTTGTGGGTGCAATGAGCATACCGGAGTAAACTTATTATGGACTTTTTTTTTAGATACCTTCCGCCGTGCAGCAACACTATCCGCAGCCCGCTGTACACGGTCTGAAACATCGCAGACAAGGCTAGTGGCACCATGCGAAGGCGGCGTCTTCAATTCAATTCAATTTAATTTACTTCATTGCATTCACTCTCATATTACGTCGTTGCGGAAAATAGTTTGATGGTCCCGATAAATAACGCTATTACTTACCGGACTGACACCATCCGTCGCCGTCTCTAAACTGTGCAGTTTCCAAAGGATGCTTGTAATAGCCCCTAGATGCCGAGGGCGAACGGTAGCAGAGCTCGCCAAGCTTGTTTGGTCCCAGCGTGTGACCGTTGCTCGGATCAATGATCTGCAGAGAGATTCGTTATCATTCGGGTGTTTTCATTGTCCGAAGCACGCGGCCAGTCACCGACAACGTAAGAAACGACGAAAAAGGCTTACACTCTAAGAAAAAAAAGAAAAGGCTGGTGGGTGTACTTTTTTGCAGAACACGGAGACAGCTAAACTCGATACGACGCCTAGATGGCGTCTCCGACTTGTGTGTTCAGCCATGCTCAGACTCCTATTTCGCTCCTGCATAAAAAATAGTCCCGAAGTGGCAACTAGTGCCACTAAATAAGCTACGCTCCAGAGTAACGACACTTGGCCATATTGTGTTTTAAAATCATGGTTTCCAGTTATCTGAAGCTTTATCTGAGATCACAGGAAGCGCTTTTCCGCCCTCCACAAATGTTTAAACAGTTCGCGACAAACCAAAGCCATATTACACGAGCTTCCGAACACCGAATCTAATGCTGAGGAAGTCGCCCTATTGAATCATGACGATCGGCAGTTGCGTCTGCTCCGCATACGAGCCAAAATGGCGGCGCCCACAACAATGTCGGTGGACGGAGTGCCGATACTCTAAGCGCAGCTCATTTAGTGGCTCTAGTGGAAACAAATGACGTCACGAAAGCCGGAGTGTCATGCTGTCGTATGTCGCGATCCTAGTGTATAATCGTAAAAGTTCTGCAAAAAAATGTAAAAATAAAACACGAGCAAACGCGAGTGTCGCTGTCATCACGGCGTCCCAACTCTTGGCTGCCGAAGCTTTCATGAACTGTCGAATTAGAAAGTAACGTTCGGCAGAATAGCCGAGTCTGCAACGTCACCCACCGCTGCTTTGACGCCGGCACGATCGCAGCAGGCGAGCACGACACTTCTATGACGTCATAAGGCGGAAATCGAGGGACTGCTTTTTTGCACGCGGTAAACACACCATATAGCATTAGTATTATGCGCGGGACTCACAACGCCATGCAATCCTTAAGCTTTCGGTGATTCTATTGATGGTACATTTGTTATACAAAAGAAAGGATGTCACAACCCTAAGAAAACACTTAAAAACCTAAAAGTTAGAAGGAACTCATAAAAGGCAAAGGTTGTTTTGTTTGTTTCTTCTTTCTTTTTTTTCAAAGAAAAGATTAAAGAAACAAATCATTGCGGATCGTGTGGAGGCTCATATAGGAAGAAAATAAACAAATTAGGAAAGGAACGGTATTCCGCATTCGGTCCTGTAGCCTTAGTTTTCCGATCAGATGCCGCAATGGCCCACATTGACGTACCTTCACTGCGTCATAAAACATTCGAAGCACTATTTTGGTTATAGGAAAATATAGGCCTTTAACGCGGTAATTGAAGCATAATTTTACGTTAGATGATTTAAAGAAGACACACTGAATAGCCGTACTTTTCTATACTTCGTTTCACCTTAAGTCCAGACGCAGTCGACGCTATATAGTTGACAGGACCAATCAGACAGCGTCAAAAGGACACCATCATGTTGTTTGTCATGTTTCTGTACGTGAATTCTATCACCGCTGAACTAATCAGAAACAACAAAGGTCCAGTGACTCTCTCTTTTGACGCTGCTTGACTGGTCCCATTAGCTCGTAGCGTAGGCTGCGTCTGAACTTAAGCCGAAACGAAGTGTAGTAAATTACAGTGTAATTTTTTTTGTTATATAGAAGAAGTCACGAGTAACGTAGCTACGTTACTCGTAGCTACGTTACTCGTTATTACGTTGCTCGTAATAAGTAACGTAAGTACGTTACCCGGTCCTGTTTTGAAAAAGCAACGAATCTGTTATTACGTTACCGAAAACAGTAAAGCGCTACCAGTAACGCAGTTACTTGTAACGCGTTACCACCAATACTGGTTTTGACCTCAAATGGGGATTGTCCGGCACCCCATATTTGGGAAGAGAACACTCGTCAGTTCCTTTTTGCCTCTTCTTCGACTGCCCCCCCCCCCCCCCCTACTCCTCCCCCTCCGGCCCTCTCCTTGTCGGTTTCGTGGCGACTCGGCCCGCCGTTGAAAAAGGTTGCCGACCCCTGCTTCAGCGTTATAGCGTAGCGGAGGGGAAGGGAGGGCGGGGGGGGGGGGGGGGGGGGGCAAAACGATCTACTTGAGCTCCCTATAACAGGTTTCATTACACAGTTTTAAAACCTGGTTTTTGCCCCGTTATAACTTATTTGGCATACGTGTCGGTATGAGGGCACAAGGTTTACTTCTCAGTTACTTATAAAAAAAATACATTGTGGCCTTCTATCGCGAGTTTTCTTTACGTTTTTTTATTATTTGAAAATCTCAAAAGGCGTTAAAACGCTTTTTCTTTAATCAAGTACGCTGCCTCGAATTTTGTGTCGACTCATGATTTATTAGAGTTAAGGCTGGCTCACACATCCTCGTTTGCTTAGGTTACGTTTTATTCCGAGAGCTTACCTCTGCTTAAAGGGGGACTGCAAAGAGAAAAGGTGTATTTTTAAACAACCTAATTGGGACAAGCATGCCACAAAACAACTTTTCCGTCAAAAACAAAATTTTTTTATAGCAATATTTATAGCGCCAGACTGATTTTAGTTTGCGGCTATTTCGTCCGTTTTAAATCGCGCGCCACAAAGTTTGTATTATACGTCACGTAGTGGCTGCTATGCGTCACGGAGTGACGTATTCCAGCCACTCCCCGCGCGTCGAAAGAGCGGGAGTTTCAAATCTGGAGAAGTTGTGACTCCGACTAAATTACGTCCTGTCGCGTTAATATTGCTAGAAAAAAAATGTTTTGTTTTTTCGCGGAAGATTTGTTTTGTGACATGCTTGTCCCAATTAGGCTGTTTAAAAAGAAATTTTTTTATTCTTTGCAGTAACTCTTTAAAGGGATACTTCAACGAAATTTGAAATATTCCCGTCGTGATCAAAAATAGGTTGAATATGATCCACAATATCCGTAAATGACAATCGCACGTATGCATTTTGAGCCTGGTGGCTGTATTTTTCGTTATAAACGGCCCACTCTGGCAAGCGCTCGGAGAAGGCCCAGCGGAGACAACGTGACATCCAACGCAATCGTGACGTAGGTCGTCTCAAGACGAGCAAAGCTACGGCGAGGTTGACGTCGAGAGGATGGCCTAGTCGTTCAAGCCACCGAAGCTGCTGCTGTTGCACGAATTTTGAGTGACGGGTTAATCTTCTATAATCTTGTAGGGGGACAATAGCGACTTCTGCGACACACAAAAGGCATTCTCGGGAAGAGGGGAGTTCCTCCTGTCCCCCTTCTCTCGTCGTGGCCGGAGACGAGACAACCTCCGTCACTAGCTGTCAAGGTTCCTAGACGGGCATTACAAGCGAGGCGTTAGCGACATCCACCAGGTGCTCTTTGCTAATCGTTTAATTCGTTTTAAAATTCCTTTTCGTGACTTTTTTAACAAGATGTTGGTATGTTCGATGTGACGCTGCTTTTTTGAACACATATAGACCAAAAAATGAGCGCCGAAATTTCGTTGTAGTATCCCTTTAAAGAGCAACTCCGCTCAATTCCGAAGATTTCGGGATAATGAGTGACTTCAAATTAAAAAAAGTACTAATAAAGCACACTACGTCATTTGCTACGCGGAAAATGAGACATATATTGTTCAATCTTATTTTAAACACGAGCAGAAATCGAAACCGAAACTTTGGCTCCCTCTGGCAACATTGACCTCGGGCCGCTAAGAACATGGCTGTCACGTGGTACGAGATGTCGCGTATTTAGGGCGACCATCCGTCCCGCGACTCGAGCGACTGTCCGCATTGAGGGCTCATGTACCGCGTCCCGCGAGAAACTCCCAAATCTTCAAAATGTACCACATTTCACACTGTCGTAAAATTCACTCCGCAACTCATGGTGCTGCCGAACACCGGGGCACGGTGAAGCGCGCAGGTTGCTGGTAATCGCTTGAATCGCAAGGGGACTCTATTTTCTCTTCAGGCATTGCGGGAAGCGACTGTCGTTCTTGCAGGAGGTTGAAGCGCAAGCGCCGTTGTGCCTCTTTCCTTGGTGGCAAAATATTGTAAGGTTCCTACGTCTCAGGGTTACTATGGAGAAAATTGCTCGTCAAAAGTTTAAATATAAACTATTGTAATTACCTTCATTCCGTTGTGTCAAAGTGAAACGGTTGCTGTGAAAGTTATCTTTAGTGAAGACAGCCACGCAAAGCAAAAAGCTTGCAACTCACAACGGTTGAAAAAGGACATATATGTTAAAAGGGGTGTAAAACCATGTTGATAAAAGTAAGCGTTGACCGGAAGTCACGACGCTCGAAAAAGCACATAATGTTAAAAGTGTGTGTAGGACCATGTTTATAAAAGTAAGCGTTGACCGGAAACAATAACCCGAAAAATATTTGCTGTTCCTTAATCGGTCTTAATTTTGAAAAGTTGTAATTTAGCTAGTTGGTGAATCCCCAATTACTCAATTTTATTTGGTGCATTGAGTTGTGGTGCAGTTGTTTTTTAAGCTGACAATTTCGACGGCTCGGTTCGTGGTGTACCTGTTCATAAATTTCCACTAACGCCCATTTCTTCTTGGCAACGACGTTTTCTGCGCTAGAATTTACTTAGATCAGAAGCACAATATTCTGCTGCCAATCAAAAAAAAAAGGGCAATTTTACTTAAAAAAATTATGGGCAAATATATATTGGTATTAAAAACAGCGCAAAAGAAAACAGTGAAACAATCCCGAAATATGTTGTACCAACTCGCCCATGCCTCAGCTTAAGCAAATACGACCCTCGGGAAGCGTGCAAAAGCAACGCTAACGTCATCGAATGCGGTGCTCAGGAAGAAGACGAACTCGACATGTTCTTAGAAGCCCAAGAAAGGTGACGAAGGCCGAACCGCATGATTGCAATTGAGCGAGCAAGAGCATCTGTACCCTGCTGGAATCTCTTCCCGGGGAGCCGCGCCTCAACAAAAACGAAGACATTCTTCGTTACTGGGAGAACCACAAGCTTGAACGACCAGAGCTCTATCAGCTAGCTCTGGCAGCACCAACTACGCAAGACAGCGCAGAGCGACTTGCTCAGGTCTCAAGTTTGTGCTTTCACATCTTTGAGCCAACTTAAAAGAGTCGACGATAGACAACATCATGTTAATCCGCGCGAACAGAAAGGCGCCATAGGTATATATAACGCTATGAAACATCATAACTTGTAAACGCTCTAGTGGGGTTTGATCAAGTATATTCCTCTTTTGCTGTGCGATAAAATAAATTCAAATAAATATAATGATTTCAATACGCCCCCGCTCTTTGTGTATATTTTAATTTTTTTTTTTGTGCAAACACTTTAAAGGGGCACTCAAGCGGTTTTTGGAGAAGCCACTTTTTGGTGCGATGGCGTTAAGGAAGTGTCAGTGAATGAGTATCTTCAGTTTTAAAAGGCAGAACCGCCTATTAATCACACAGGAATAAATATGTGCGGACTCTTTTCTGTACTTGCGAGGACCAATGAAATTATCGTAGGTTTGAAAATTTTGGCGGTCTTTGTAAAGTTTGGTTAAAGAAACAATTTTCAGTTCATTTAAATATGCTGTGCATGATAATATCACAAGACGTAAAATATTTCTAGTTTAGAATACGCGATAGTGCAATTACCGTTTCACAAACAAGGGACTACGTTTTCTCCTTGCCTTCCTCCGCGGGGGGTGAATTTCCCCAGGGATGCGCGGAAGCGCACTTATCTCCGCGCGTTGCAGGCCGGTCTGGGCCGGTCGTGCCGGTCGCGGTAGCCACTGTAGTCGCGGGCCGGCCGGCTCCTTCTATCCGCAAATGTGGCGTCGGTGGTGATCATCGGCGTGGACCGCGTGGTGAAAGCTCATCGTTCCGCGTAAAAGCGCTATCCTTGACTGTGAATTTTCGTCGTGTGTCGCTATGATAACCCAGCACGTACTAGAAGGGAAGATCCACCTACTCGTGCGGCGATGTCGTGGCGGCACTCTCAAGACAGCAGAAACGCCCGTGCCGTCCTGTTTGTTTACTTCGACTACAGTGGTGCTTTCTAAGCATTTGTGTCCTCGAACATCGCCCGGATTTTTTATTTGGCGCATTTCATGCGTGTGCTCAAGTTCAAGGTATTACTAGCGCGTACCCTATAAAGGATGCTAATTTTCACGCGTTTTCGTCACCGGAGAAAAGTGATTAGTGTTAGCAATCCTGAACGCTCGCAACGTCTATCTGATCACGAAATCATATTTCTACGTTGCTATATCGCTGCTAAGATTACATTGTCTTTTATAATCGTAGAAAAGGTATGTGGCGATATTTGTACTATTGCAATGTCGTGTATTACAGTCGTAATCGTCCAAGACGGCGGACTGCATTTTTTTTTTTCATCCACTGTACTTTGCAGGCTGCAAGCCTATCAAGAAAAAATAATAATAAAGCTTTAGGCTATAGAAACCTGTTACGGCATTGAGTAGCGGTGCGTCCCCTTTTTAGAGGGGCCGCCGAAACAGCTGACGGCGGCGTATAGAAGCGGTCGCCGTGCTGACGACCCGCTGCGCTTGTTGTAGTGGTCGGTCTGGTCGCCCCGGTTGCAACGGACGCAGTCGTAGGTTCGCGCTCGTTGCACATGTCTGAACCAGCCTTCCCCCCGTCCTCCCGAGGCGAAAGTCAACATGGCGACATCGTTTGACATCACGTACCAGAGGTAACGCTGCGATGTCAAACGTTGGTTTGGTTACGACTTGCCCCAACCGCAAATCGAAGAACGCCCGAAAAGGCCTGCGCTTCGTCGTCCTCGGAACCCGGACATGACTCCGAAGCGCTGCTATCCTCCACATCGCACGTCGGAGTGGCGTCATAGGAAATCATTCCCAGGTCGGCTGTCCGCCGAAGAATTTCAACCTCTAACGGCGTCAGGTCCTCGAGCGTAGAGAAATCGGCCATGATCGAAGCTCGAATGACAAAGAGGTTCGGCCGATGCAGCTACCTCGGGATCACTGCGCGACGGAACGTCGTCCAACGCCATTGGCCCGAGATCCTTTCTATAAGCGTGCGAGGACCAATGAGAGTGGTTTCGTTTTCGGATGAATCCGAGGTTCGGCGGCCTTCAATTACATTTTTATTAAAGAAAAATTCACCGTTTGACTATACTTTTTGGTTTTTAGGGATACTTAGGGCGTCTAAATTCAGCTGTCATCATTAAAACACGAACTTAAAATCCACTTGAGTGCCCCTTTAAGCACCCCGGGCGGTATTTCATAACAGATTGGTTACAATGAAAACAGATAACAAACTGGTAGCAGCGAGCAAACTAACACGGACGCAGGAAAGAAATGGACGGTAGTAGCGCTGGACTACAACTATATTTTTTCGCATATTCCATGTGGAAACGTCTCACTATTCCTTCCGCCCCACATATTAGATATGAAACCCACGTGGAAGAGAACGAAAGGAAACGAAAAACATCTATGCACCAAACGTACCTCTGCTGAACGAGGAATAAATATAAACAAGTTCGATCATGCTGACAAGGACCGGGAAGCACACAAGGTGTTGAGCGCAAACTACCGTACCGCAAAATCACTTTGCAGAAATGAACGTCACACGACTCGAAATCACGCAACGCGGTCACGTGACGCCAATGTCACGTGACTTGAATTCGCATTACCTGGTCACCTTACGTACATTTTCTCGCTAAATTTAGCTGAGAAATTACCGTGACAGTTCTGCGTGACTTTTTGTTTCTCAAAAAGTTGGGCTGGTGAAACACGTTTCATGTGAAAGCTGGGAAGAGAAACGCAAATTGTTACCTTGATCTCGAACAATGGGCCAGGATATCCAACGTCGGTGTAAGAGATTAGCCCTTTCGGCCAAGTGCAGATGATACCCCTTGATTCTGACATCATGTAAAAGACCCTCAGGCTTCGAAGGCTTCCAAAGACGCTCAGGACCAGCTTTGCGGCCTCCTCAGAGAACGCGCTGCCGGAGACAACGACGTTTCGCACTGTGGGCAGTTTCCGGCCCGTGGACTGAACGTATTCCGCCAGCTTTTGGATTTTCGAGGGAAAGCAGGCGAAGGTTGCTATCTGCAATCAGGGTAGGAAAACATTATGCTTCTTTTTTTAACAATCGAAAAAATCAGATTTATTTCATTTGCATCAAATGTGTCTCGTTTAAATCACTTCATCTAGTAGAATGTGACCTTTTGTCACTAGATATGTTTTTAAAAAAATGACTGCCCACAGGTCAGCGGCACCCGGGGCCACCGCCCCGGGTGCCGCTGAGCCTGGTGACGCTAAAAGAGCTTTTTTTTCTAGTCGAAATACAAAATATAAGTGGCGCGAACCGTTTCAATTATCTATGAAAGTATTTTTTGCTCAGTATTTTAAATCAGAAAAGAAACAAATGCAGTTTATAAAGTATGGAAACAAGAAATGGCCCGTCGACATACCCGCCACCAAGCGGTGGAAAAGGCAGCTTATACTAGAAATCGTTAGTGGGTTCACGCACCGACGAGGCGGCAAGCGGCGGGCGTCGAAAGTTTCCGGATGTACGCGGCTGCGCTGGGATCGTATGGACTGGAGGATCGACCGGTTCCGAGCGTTCCGAATGCCGTCGGTGAGCAGGTCTGGCTTGCGGTTTGGCCGTTTGGCGGTATGGCAGCTCGAAGTGGCTCCCGTTCTGAACTGATATTTACCCCATGTTTGCTGTCGTTTGTGGCCAATAAAGTGTCATGCCGAATTAGTGTTTAATCGCACAGCAAATGCAATGCGAGCCGCCCTGGCCGCCCGCTTCATACAGCCTATCCAGAACATTCTTTAGTGGCGCCCCCTCGAACCGTCGACACGGAGCGCGGCAGCCGTGAGCGCTCGCTGAGCTCGCTACCCCTCCCATAGCTCACGGCCACTCAAGCGAACAAGGAAGTCATGGAGGACGTTATTTTTTGCTTGCATTTGTAATTTTAATTCGCCAATAATTTTTAAAATAAAGCGAAATTTGAGAGAAGAGAAGTTTCATTAACTTACTACGTTTAGTGCGCTCAGGTTCGGTGCAAATTAAAAACCGGTAAAAAAAGTCCTTGGGGCCTTTAAGGGCTAGTTTCCCCACGATCGTGTCCCCCGCGAAGAAATGATGACACCGAACTTTGGACACCTACCGCCATCTATGAGCGACGGCGGCAAGCCACGTATCTGGTTGCCACCATCCCTCATAGATGGCGGCAGCCTTTCCACTTTGGCTTGCCGTCTTGCGGCCGGCCATTGCTTTCCATTGTACAGCTCGGCTGGTCTTCCTCTTCACCAAAACAAAAAAGAAGCTTCTTTTTTTTTTTTTTTTGGCGGGGGGGGGGGGGGGGGTATTTTTGCGGCATTTATTCTGACCGCATTGGCCACCGAAAAGTCGACTTCTCGATCGCCGGCTCGTCTCAGAAACACCGGTGGGTATAAAAATGAAGTGTCAGACGACGCAGTTGTCTCTTCCCGACTATTCCGGCTGGCGCAGAAAGATATTGGGCAAAGGTTCTTCAACATGGCATCCGGTGATATTTGTCGCCTGAAGTATGTCGCGTGAAATTCGCGAAATTGTAAGCGAGTGCTCTCACCTTGAACTTGTCGATCGCATCGGCGTATCTGTCCATTCCCAAGCCAGTAGGCAAAATAACGCACTTCACTCCACCGAGTGCCACGAGGAGAGTCCATAACCCCGAGGAGTGAACGATTGAGGTCCATATCAAGACCACTTCTGTGTCGGTATGAGTAAAGGCCTTCCTGCAATGGAGGAGCATTCAGAAGCCTGTCAGTATGATGCAAGAATGAGAGGAGGGGCGCAACCTCCAAAAACATAATTCACTTTCGAGACCTTCATAAGAGCGCCGAGCATGGATTGGATGGATTAGAGGGTAGACGCAGAGGCTAAATGTCTTTGTCCTTGCCCGCCGTTTCCCTCGAATTCAAGTGACTGGATCCCAGGAAAGTAGCGTCATCGCCTTCCCTGCCTGCTAGCAAGGCACAAAACGAATGCTAACACACCGACGAACGAAACATCGCAAGGCGATTTGTTTGATCGGTTTTTTGTTGCCACGGCAATCGCCATTTTGGTCCTTTCGAATCTTCCGAGGTTCAAAAATAGACGTTTTAAACCAGTCGTGCCAATTAGCTTGCTATTGTTGCGAAAGGCCCCGGGAGACGACCTTGCCGTTCCATACCGACCGGCACGGGTGAACGCCCTGGAGCATCGTCGCCAGGTGGCTAAGGTCAGCTGCGCCCGGAGACAGAGCGAGAGGCGCCCTGGAGTCGCCAACGCAGCTTGGTTTGCGGGCACGACGTGACCTTCTCCGAGGGATCATCGGGCTGACCCATGCCAGTGTCATTTAGCCGACTTCGCCGTCCGGCCCCTCTCCTGGCTTCTCCTACCTGACCTCGACGCACGGCGACCCGACAGCCTTGAGACGTCCTCGACAAGGGAGGGGGCTTTATTCAATTTCCCCAGCTTAGATCGCCCATGAGATTATCCCCTAACACACGGAAGCCAGGACGCCTGCAATTATGAACGTCTTCCGCCTTCCTCGACTTCGATGGCACCATTGTCCGCCGACATTGACTGGCGACATCGCGGCCAAGGATGTCTGGCCCTTCCGTGTGTGTGGTGTCGCGTGTTGCAGTGCGAGAGAGGGAGATGGCGCGCCTGGACGTTACGAACAATGAACCCTGGGGATTCCTTACTAGGGATGTAGGGAAAGGGGACGTTATAAAAGTAGCAGCCAGTGGCTGCTACAGTGTGTTCTCTGGTGTTCTTGACAGTGTTCTCAAGTGTTCTTGAGTTGATGTAACCTGTTCATATGTATATATAAAGAGTTGTATTATTTAAGAGACACCCCTCCAGCTCCCTGGTCCTTCGCGATTCCGGCCTCCACATGAGTTCCTGCCCTGGCTCGGCTGCCTGCCGTACCCAAAGTCCCCGGACGACCACGCTGTCCCAACACTATGCAGCGTCAACGTACCGAAAGCATTCCTCGCCAATGTAAGCCTCTTTGGTACAGTGTATATGCAATTAATTTATCGATCGTGCTTACCTCCACAAATCTTACAATTATACTGCTCTCGCGTATTCCAAAACAGGAAAATTATTTTTGCAATGCCTCCGAGCACCGAACGACGCATGTGGTGGAGGTGAGAAGACGAGCGCTAGTTTTGCCTCTGTGGTGGATAACAAAATCTCGGTATGCAAGAAATCTCTGTATAATATAGAAAGCTGCCCGGTCACCAACAAATTTATATCGGCTCACCAAGAATGGAAAGGTCCAGCAAAAATGACTCGTTCCATGTACCAAAATGGCGACCATACTGTGAGCTTGACGCTATTTTCCCAGGATTCAGTTAAATTAACTCGAAAGAAAGCGAACAAGAGCGTCGGACGCCATCGCTCAGCGTCCGAAGTTCGAACGTAAAATATCCCAGCGTACTATCCCGCAGAGCTTGGAATATGAGTTCGGAGATTGCAGTCATGCGAAGTGAAACGGAGCTTGGCTTTTCCCGTGACCACGTAACGATCAGTGTCCAGCGCAAAGTTTGTTGTTTTCAGGTCGTCCCTCGCTCATTCGCGGAACATGGCAGAACTCACTTAAAATACCGTAGTGATTAGTTCTCCGAGCGTTCTGCGAGAAAATAGACTTTATTTTTTTTTTTTTTTTTTTTTGTTCTTATAATAATTGTATTTAGCAACTTGCACCGTAAGAAGAAATAGGTTTTGGAAACAGGCCAGCCAAGATCGCAAAAGATTTCTCGGGCTTGGCGCATCTCCCGGCAGAACTACCGTCGTTTCTTTTTCTTTTATTTTTTTATTATTATTTTTTTTTTTTTTTTTTTTTTGCGCAGGCGCGATTGCTTGGGGAAGAGCCGTGTGATCAGATAAGGACGGCTCTTCTACTGGCTTTAATCGGTTCCTTACGCTCTAAAAAAAGATGTAGCCCTTATACACCCCTTGTTCCATATATACGACACCCCAAAACTTCAGTTCGACGTACGCTGACGTCGAACTGACGGCCCCAACTTCTACGAGAGGGTTGATGACGGTGCGACGCAACATGTTCAACAGCTAAAGTACGTATCAAAGACTACAGAAAACAAACACTGAGCTTTTGCACTAGGGCCAAGAAAACCCAGATTACTGCGTTTGCAGTAAGCCACGCTTTCTTTAGCTATTTTAATAAGTTGCACATCTCGGTTGTCAAGCTGCTCGTGAAAGTTGGTAGCGCCGGTTCAACGCCACTGCGCTGTACGTCCAACTGTAGTTTTAAGGTGTCGTAAATCTGAAAGGGGGTGTAAGGCTACACCTTTTTTTTAGTGTAGTGCGCCATCTCACGGCGTTTGTCATAAATGCGAGGGAATAGTCGCCCCGTTTGCCCCGTGGCGAGGCGGCGCCTTTGAGGCACCTCTATCTTCTCCCACCATGGAGGGGAGTGCACGCTCGCATTTGTCTTAGACAAAACAGAGTTCCCAAATATAAAAGAACCACACATGCTCTAAGCGCGTACGCAGACGCGTAGAAAGAAGCTACGTAGTTGTAATGCGTGATTTCCACGGGCTTGGGGAGTCCCGTGGTGCCCGACGTGTAGACCAGCCCCAAGAGGGTGCGCTCCGGGTCCTGTACGGGGATCTCCTTGAACTCGGATTCTTTCAGGTCAGAAAAGTTGGAGGCGGAGACAAATCCCGCGGCATCTCCCATCACGAAGAGGCTCTGAAATGTGCGAGCAATCCTAAGGAATTTCAACTCAAAACGCTGTTGACGACCCCAGCACTTATATATTTTTTTCATGGTTGCAAACGACTGGAAATGATTCGTAACGATTTTTCTGAACATTTTAAACGTGTAAACATTCTTTTTACAAAAAAATAAAACAAAATAAGAAAGTCAGATTTGAAAGTCCCGCCCGAATCAATGACGCTAAAGGAGTGATGGTACACGCCTTGCATTTTTGAGTGCGTTAAAACCAGAAGCACCATTATCTAAACTTTGAAACAAGGAGAAATAAATAGCGGACAAGGCGACACATTAATTTTTTTCTTGTCTCACACATTTAAAATGAAACCATCAAACTTAGGGTAAAACATGAATTGAACATGTGCCGTCTTTCGGCATTTTATCCAATGTACTGTTTTGGTTCGCAAACAGGATCTGTACCATAGAAACGCAAATGAGCTATTTTGGTAATGAACGTAAAGAGGACGTTACAGAAGAGACGATATGTGCGTGTTACAACTTCTCCGCACATTAAGCGTGTCTGAAAACGCCAAATATTGTTCATTTGAATCGCACTTTATCACTCCGCGAGAGCACACCTCTATGCTAACCGCAGCACGCAGCGCGCAAAGCGCGGAGGACAAAAGCCCCAACTTCACGCTACTCAAGCGAATCAAACCAGCCCCTGCACCGCCTTTTAAAAATGAAAGCCGTTTACAACTCCCTGTAACGCCGAATTAGAGCGCAGCTCTTGAGGAGGAGGAGGGAAGGGTACTGGGGGGGGGGGGGTCAAGTGACCTCGGGGGGCGGGGGGTCACGTGACCTTGGGGGTCACGTGACCTTGTGGGGGTCACGTGACCTTGGGGGTCACGTGACCTTGTGGGGGTCACGTGACCTTGGGGCGTCACGTAACGTCGGGGGGTCACGTGACGATACCGATGACGTCATCAGTAGCGTCACTGATGACGCCATCAGTGATGATGATGACGATGCGGATGCCGGTGACGTCATCAGTGACGTCACTGATGACGTCATCAGCGATGATGACGATGACGATGCGGATGCCGGTGACGTCATCAGTGACGTCACTGATGACGTCATCAGTGGCTATGACGTCAACGGGGGGTCACGTGACCTCGGGGGGTATCCCCAGGTCACGTGACCCCAGGGGGGGTCACTTGACCTGGGTAACATCGTGACCCTCGTGAGGGTAACCCTAGTAACCCTTGTGAGGGCAACTCTCGTGACCCTCGTGAGGGTAACTCTCATGACCCTCGTGAGGGTAACTCTCGTGACCCTCGTGAGGGTAACTCTCATAACCCTCGTGACCCTCGTGAGGGTAACCCTCGTGAAGGTTACCCTCACGAGGGTTACTAACCCTCGTAACCCTCGTGAGGGTTACGAGGGTAAGTAACCCTCGTGAGGGTAACTCTCATAACCCTCGTGACCCTCGTGAGGGTAACCCTCGTGAAGGTTACCCTCACGAGGGTTACTAACCCTCGTAACCCTCAAAAGGGTTACCTTCACGAGGGTTACCCTCACGAGGGTTACTAACCCTCGTAACCCTCGTGAGGGTTACAAGGGTAAGTAACCCTCGTGAGGGTAACCCTTGTGAAGGTAACCCTTCTGAGGGTAAAAACCCTCGTAACCCTCGTGAGGGTTACGAGGGTAAGTAACCCTCGTGGCCCTCGTGATCCTCGTGAGGGTAACCCTCATGAGATTAACCCTCGTAACCCTCACGAGGGTTACGAGGGTTGCGGTTACGCCGACGCCGACGGCGACGGCGACGGCGACGCCGACGGCGACGCCGCTCAAGCCGGGAACGGGCCCCTAAGAGCTGCGCTCTAAAAACACATCCAGCACAGCGCTCTCCGGCTTGAAGACTTCAACCACTATTTTTCCAACGAACGTATACATTCAACCCACCATTTATATGGGACATCACTGTGTATCTGCATCTCTCTTTTGCAGAGCGAGAGCCAACGCGCTCGCTCTGTGGAGCAGCAGCTGTAATTCAGGCTCCAAAAAATCACCCTATTGTTGACATGTTATGACCACTAACACCGCTGTACAAATTCAAGTTCACCGCTAAATTTAGCGGTAAAATTTACGGCAAGTGACGTATACAACAATTCAGTTTCCCCGCTAAATTTAGCGAAAAAATTTACGACACGGGACCTATCCACCAATTCCGTTTCCCAGCTAAATTTTACGGAAAACCTTAACAACGATATGACGATTCTCATCGTCATACCGTCCAATAAGCAGCGCAGCTAGCGCTGTCTAAACGCGTCACTCCGCATGATCGTCCCCGAATTTTTACGCATCGTCCTTTCACCATAAGAGAAAATTTAAATTACACATTTCTCTAAAACAGCGTGTTGATTTGATCTCGCAAATACAGCAAAACCTGCCGTCTAGCTCAAAACCAAGGTTCATATCACATGAGCGAATCGACGTTTTAGCGAATAACTAAACCGCGTGGCGTGGAACTTTCATCTAAAAAAAGATGGGCGTAAATCTTGTCGCGTGCTCTGTCCCACTCCTTGTCACCTCGAGATTTCGAAGCCGCTGAGTGTAAAATAATTATGTACGTGAGGTCACAACACTTTTATTAGGTCACTTTAAGAAACTGAAAAGCACGGTGTTTGCTTCGTCTTCAACGAAAGGAACTTTTTTTTTTTTTTCAACATATCGTTTGATTATTTTTCTATCTTCTTCAATATATTGTGAGGAGATTCATCACGCATACCTTGAATGGTGCCATGGCATGAACATTGGACACTTTCTGAACAAACTTTTGGCCGGTCAAGATGTGCACAACGTCGGCGTGCTTAACTTGATAATAGAGTTCCCCTGAGAGAAAACAGCCAGAATTAGTCAATGTATAAGTTGTGTCGAGCCTACGTCAAACGAACCGGAAAAATCAGCGCCTGCACAAACACTCTATAGAATACACCCCTTGTTTCATATAAGACACCCCAATAGTTCAGTTCGACGTACAGCGCGCTGACGTCCAACCGAAGGTAACAACTTTCACGAGCGGCTTGATAGCCGAGGAGTACAACCAAGTACGATATAGCTTCGGTACAGCCATAGCCTCCTCTTCTGGCGACCTGCGCCATCGAAAGCGTCGCTGCGGTGGGCCTGCCACGATTGGCCGAATGCTGACTGTGACGTCAGCAAAGAATTTCTCATCGACGGAAATAAGGCATCCGCCGGGATCAGATGACCAGATCCGGACTGGAGCACACGATCCGAACGGGGTCGCGCCGCCTACGGATCCCCAGTGGAACACGACCACTGCTCCGGGATCGGCGGATGCCTTCCCGTCATTCAACTGCCCGGGAATCCCCTCTCTGCGGCCGCCGCGGTCGTTTCAAAGACGTTTTCGCAATCGCGGCGCTAAAGCCTGTTTCACATGCAGCGGTTTTGGCCCTAGAGCGGCGCGATTTCTGCCGTCGCGGCGCTCTGGCCAGCACTAGAGCCACTCTATATGGCAGCGTAGCTGCCAGAGTAGCGACACGACGCAAAATTATTTAGATGCACGAAATCAGAAGCACCGATAGTGATCTCCATTTTGGGCCTGGGAGGTTGCCATGGTAACCGTGCTGCTAGCGACGCTGGGCGGCAATTTTTTGCTAGTCGATATCTCCCTTCGTATATTGAAAAGTGGTAAAAGACGCTTGTCATGGCTACATTGTAGCATGCGGTTCAGCACGGGCCTCCGGAGGAACGGTGTCTGTTTCTTCTTTGAAGTGAGACGATTTGCAGGCCGGGGACTGTCGGGCGACGAGAGCTGCTAAGTATCGTAGGTGATCGTAGGTGCACGGACAAGGCGAGTGGTTTTCCGCGCCGCCGGAATGGCGGCCGCTTGGTGGGACGTACGCACCGTCCTTGTACTTTGGGATTCGCTTCTTTGAAACAAAATCCGAAAACGCCGGCCACGATAGGACGATTGCCTCGGGGCATGACTGTTGCTCGACTGCTCCATGATAAGCGAATGTATGCTTAGCATCATACTTCTTCAAGACCCAATCATTCATTCAAGATGAGATTATCTCACCGACTGGCGAGGAGCGACGTTGACGACGGTCTCACCCTCGTTTAGGCGATGAACAGTCGACAAGGTTAAGCCAAGAAGGACGGCATGGTGGTCACCAGAGGATTGTTAACGCCATCAAAAGAGACGGACGCTGGATATGAGGTGTTCTTGCCGACAGGCCAAGTGGTCGCCCGGAAGTTTACCGGCATGCAAAATGTCTATATTTTTATCTGGTGTAGCACACATATCCGTGTTAAAGGGACCATGAAACGATTTTTTTTAACTTCTTTCTTAGTTGTAATTCTACGCTCAAAAGCAAACTATGATATCACGCGGTCGTAACATGCTAGGGCACCGGTGCGATGACCCCAAGCTTCCACCGTGCTTTTTAAGCACACCATAGAACTTGGCATTCGCCAGTGATGATAAGTTCCGTCAGTGCACCCATGGCCCACGAACGCGAATTCGAATATCCGTCGACGAATTGATTGTTGACGAGCGCATACGTCCGAGTGAAGCAGTTTTCGTGTCCAATGCGTGAGCTGGGGTCGGCTGACGTAATTTTGGCCTTTTGCAGGCATTGCAAAGAGGATATTTAGAACCATACACTCTTGGTTATAACATTGATTAAAAGTTTAAAAGGTGCGAACACACAGGACGAAAAAAAGAGACACATACGACATAGCACACTGAAATTAATTAACAAAAAACGGGCCCAGCTACGAAAAATAAATATTACACGTAAAAAATAATTATGTCTGTAACTTGTTAATTACAAAGACGAACACATCTCAGAGCATCTAAGTTTAATAATATGTGTTGATGCATTGTTATATAACAGGTTATTTCATATACGTCATTTGAGCAAACGCCCGCTTGTCACTTGAAAAAATAAACCAAAAAACACTGCGATCAAAGGCAATACATTGCAACGAAAGCACGTTATATGAAAGTCTTTAGAACTGCCCATTTGTAAAATCGTCGATTAGAACAAAAGGTTATTAAAGATCGCCGGCGCTTCCTCGCTAAAAGTTGCTGTGGTTATTCGGTGACCCAGGGCTGAAACAATTTCCCCTAGGCCCTTGCCGCGAGGTGTACCTTTCGTTTCGATTCTCAGAAATTCAAACTTTCAAAGGAAGCTAGAAAAAGGCGAAGGTTTTATGCTAAAAATTAAATCGTAATATCATTGAGTAGTACAAAACGTAAAGATCGCAGGAGCTTCCTCGTCAAACTTTTCTGTGATTATGCGGTTACCTCGGGCTAAAACAACTTCCCCAAGGCCCAACTTGAGACTCATACTTTTTGCATCGGTTCTTAAACACTCCAACGTTGAAACAAAGCCAAGAGTATGCGGAAATTGCATGCTAAAAGCATTATCGATCCTCGAACGCATCCGGGAATCCGAGCACCACTACGGCGATATGACTTAATTTGTCTCACAGGTGCTAATATCCAGAGCGACCTTGCACAGAAAAGGTATAAAGTCTCGATCTTTCAGATCTTCACGTTATACCTGCGTCAGATAGCACGGAGAAGTCCGAAATTGTCGAGAAGCAGCGGCACATTGCGACTACCGGGCACCGACCAAACTCGCATCCACCAGTACTGGGCGCTGCCATCTTACCGGTGACATCACGGCTCTTGCGAAATCATGTGAGGAGTAGTCACTCGGTTGCTATGGGCACGGTACCAGCCAACTACCAGCTCGGCTCGTCGCTATGGTACCATGTGTGACCAATCGCGGTGATAGGCGGCACACGGAAAAAAGTGGCGCTACTCTGGCAGCTACGCTGCCACGGCTCTAGCCAGCACCAGCGGTTGAGCCGCACGAGCGCCGCAACAGCAGAAATCGCGCCACTCTAGGGCCGAAACCGCTGCATGTGAAACACGCTTATCATGTGTTCGACGCACGAGTGGAGGTAATGGCTGAGGCGCTTCTAGCAAAGAGTGCCGGAATGCCAAATACCTTCTCTTCTCCTTCCTAGAAAACGAACCGGCTGTCGAGCCAAGAAGTAAGCAAGCGGCCATTACGAATTCTTCTGATGTCGAGACAATCTAGGAGCCCAGCCCGCGACGTGCCTCTTCTTCTTCTAAGGCGAGATGGGCGAGATCAGGCGAGATGCCCCACGAGAAAGGAATTCACGTGTGTGCGCCGAGGGCTGGCCCGGCTGGCTTCCGGTTGAATCCGCCGAAATCGTGGGAGCGACTTTTCTCGGATCCAGATCGAGATCTGGAGAAAAAGATTGGTGAAAAATCTGGATCTGGTGAAAAAGACTGCGCCTTGAGCCCTGGTATATCCAGACAATGCAAGGAAACACCAACGGCCGGGTCATCGGGCACCTTGCAACCTGTACTTTACATCTCGAAACAATGCCGAACAGGTGGAAAGCTCGGACACAGACGGCGGCGGCCAGCCTACGAACTGACATCCCCTGTGACTAAATTTCAGAACGTGAAAGGGAACTTTTTAAACCTGTAGCAGTCGATACCGTTGATACACCCGTAGCAGACAAAATACTCGGCGAGCGCGGGCGGCGCGGACGACCGGGACGACCAGCGGCGCAGCGGAGTGATACAAAGGTGCAGGCGAGATCGCCTGACCTATTGCCGGCGTCTGATTGGCTCCGGCCACACGTAGCTTTGGCTGCGCTCGGACGGAAGCTGAAACGAAGTACAGCGACGATAGCGCGTTCTTATTGACTCTTAACTGCGGTTGACTGCGTGTCAACCCAACTGTGCGTACAAGTTTGGTGCAAGCGGTCTTCGCAACGCAACGCGTCTGCTTGCCGCTACGGAACGCACCGCGCTCAAACGCGAATGTGCGTATGGGCCTTAACCGCCGCTGCCGCCTGTTGCGAAAGGCCCCAGGGCCCGTTTTCTCGAACGCAAACCGTGGTTTAAAGTTAACTATTGTCCCTAGAACGGGGAATTTCAGGTCACGTGACTGGGCGAGCAGGGGCGCCGAGGGAGAAGCAGTACCTACAAGCAAAATGGCCGCGACGTCGCTTAATGAGGGCTAATAGTTCTGCTTGGTTCTGCCGAATATTCATTTCGATCCGGCTGTTATATTAATGACGCACCATCAACCTATTAGCACGTCAAGCAAACCGGTAGTTCAGAGGGACAACTAAGCTAACCGACGGCAGCATTCCGCGAACGCATCACTCTTCAGCAGTCCGAGATCCAAGACATATGACGGTACATAAGCCTTGCAAGTGTTTTTATGGTGAGTAAAAGAATGTTTTGCGAACGAGTGTTGGTACATATTTATACTAAGACGTTTAATTTGTAACACGTAATTTGTAACACAATTTGCACGCCAACTCCTGAGCAGCGATTACTTTGCGGAGAAAGGGGGTTTTCCTCAATAAAGTCTTCGTTCGAGGTGAACACCCGATACCATAAACGAGAAAAGAGTCAAAGTACAAGCTAGCTGGTGGAAGTCAACCATTTCGTCGTTTACCCTGAGACTGGGGTTTTTTTTGAAGAGCAGAAGAACAGAAAAAACAGACAGGTCTCAAACTCAGCTACACGTTTATTTCAACAACTTCCTCTTATATAGTTCGAACTATATAAGAGGAAGTTGTTGAAATAAACGTGTAGCTGAGTTTGAGACCTGTCTGTTTTTTCTGTTCTTCTGCTCTTCAAAAAAAAAACCCAGTCTCAGGGTAAACGACGAAATGGTTGACCCGATACCATGCCACACCAGCTTAGGATCCAAGGTGGTAACGTACTTGTTGTGATCCCTGGACGGGCGCCCTTGTGCTTACGCTGTAAGCGCACAGGTCATATTCGACGGGAATGCGGGGCG